TCTATAAAAATCTTTTATGCATAAAATCCATATTTTATTTGTACATAAAAATCCACCTCTTAGGTTATATTTATTCCTAAGCACTTTATTGTTTATTGGCATTAAGAATGGTGAATGGTGTGTTTTGTTTGCTATTACATGTTATTTTGAGAAAATACTGAGATATAATATAGGATTGCAATTGAATTTTGTATGTTGATCTTATACCCAGGAACCTTGCTGAATTGTCTTTTTAGTTCTACTATTTTTTCAGTATAGTCTGTTTGATTTTCTTTATAGACAATCATATTATCTGAACAAAGAGGGTTTATCTATTCTTTTCCCTTACTGTGATAATGGCGATGCCTTAGGGTCAGTCATAGAGGTCATTTCCAATGTCCTGTCCTGTGCCCTGTCTTCCTGCCTCATTATCCCCTCATGTAAAGCCCATCATTAGGCAGTGGTCAGCCTTTTTTTAGCCTCTTTAACAAGCCAGTTTGTATGGGGATAGGGGTTCTCAATCTAGTCCACAGTTTCAAGCAATGGATCTAATCTGGTTCTCACCTACTTCCCTCACTCCATGCAGATCACTTTTAGTCTCCTCTCCTCTGCAGAAGCCCCATTGTAGCATTTTCTGCCTCCTTTCAGACCTGGAACCCAACAGGCCCATGTCTTCAGTCCCATTCGTTGCTTCGCATTTTTGGTCTATAGAAAACTTTATACTTGGGGCCAACTATGTCTTTTAATTTTTCTCTTGTACATTTTAAAAAAACCATTGCTTTGCATTTGGAGCTCAGCAAGTGCCTCAAAGACTTATGTACAGTAATGCAACCTTGACCAGAAATCGTAATTCTAGGTGTCTATTGTGTAAAGGATTACAGAACTAGCTTCTAAAACTGCTGGTACTACATATAGTTATCATCAAATACAATACTACTCAGAATTTTCACAATGTCTTTCAGCTCCTCATACTTTGTAAAAGTTAGAGTTGTGTCTGTGTTTGTCATTTGGATAATGGAGAATGGAGGTAAATATCATTTTTTACATCCGAGAAAACTGAGGCCTCTTACTTAGTTGCGGCCAAGAATAACCAAACAGAACTACAAGACAGAGTTCCTCCAGAGGTAGGGCTGTGCTTAGTTCATGCTGTGCCTTATGCAAAATGCCTCTCAATGCAAGTTTTTGAGCTGAGGAAACCAAACTCTAGGCTCATACCTAGCTCTATTCGACAGGATGTCCCATGAGTTGAGGAGACCTGTAATGAGGTCTTCAAGATCTACACAGCGCTATGAATTAATGAAAAGAAAGAAAAAGAAGGAGAGGGAATAAGAGCAGCAAGGGTTGATTCTAAGCAAAGTGAGTGGGAAGGAATTGTCAGTAGCATTTCACCTAGAAAGTGAATTTTGATTGAGATTTGGATTTTTTAATACTAACCACCTTATCTAAACTAGCTTAGTATGTAGATATAATGAAAATAGCCTTCATTAAAATTGCAAAACTTATTTATTAAAATATGTAAAACAGCCAGCTGCAGCAGTAGTGAATAAGAAGTGTAAAAATAAATTATTTGGTTCAACAAATATTTATTGAGTTCCTACTATGTGCCAGCACTGTACAGGAAGGTGGAATGCAATGCTTAATAACATAGGTCCCCGTGCAGCTAACCATCTAGTTGGGCCAACTAATGGGTAAAGAAATAATCCAAATATGATGGGATAAGCTCCTTGAAAGAGCATTGGTTCAAAGAGATATTTTTCAGCCATGTTCATAACAGCATTATTCACAATAGCCAAGAGATGGAATCAACCCAAGTGTCCATCAATGGATGAATGGATAAACAAAATGCGGTCTATAATACAATGGAATATTATTCACCTTAAAAAGGAAAGAAATGTCAGCACATGCTAAACATGGGTGAACCTTGAGGATATCATGCTAAGGGAAATAAACTGGTCACAAAAAGGCAAATACTGTATGATTCCACTTATATGAGGAATCTAGAGTAATCAGATTCTTAGAAACAGAAAGTAGAATGTTGGTCACCCAGACGTAGAGGAAGGGGAAATGGGAGTTGCTTAATGAGCACAGAGTTTCAGTTTTGAGAGATGGAAAAATTCTAGAGATTGTTTGCACCACAGCGTAAACATACTTAACACTGTTGAACTATACGCTTAAAAATAGTTAAGACGGCAAATTTTATTTTATGTGTAATTTACTACAATTTTTTAAAAGTAAAAAAAAAAAAGTGTTAACTTTATGAGGATAGGGACCTGTCTGTTTTGTTCACTCTTGAATTTCCAGCATCTAGCAGAATGCCTGTTACATAGTAGGCACTTAACAAATATTCGACCTTCCTCTGGTTTTTCCTCCCCATTCAACATCCTACACAACACCCAAAAGCCAAGTCGTCTGTGAGCCAATTCAGCAAACAAAGGCACTTCTCTACTTAGGGCCTGGAAAGGGAAGAATTTCAAGTATTTGTGATTTGATATTTGTCCTGATCACACCAACTATTCTTTACTTCTCAATTATTTACCAGAGCTTTTTTGGCAGTTAAATTTCCTAAAGATAGATACTGTTTCTACTTCCCAAACCAGAGCTATGATGGACTCTGTTAAGAAATAAAAAGTGGAAGGAAGTCTGTGAAATGAAATCATTATTAGGCCGGGGTACAAATGGCCTTGGAGCCACGCTTGCAGGTCACCGGAGGGAGGGTGAGGGAATTAGCATGGATTTGCAGTTCTGCTGCCTGTTCCCTCCCTTTGCAGGCTCAGACTGATTCTACTCGCTTAGTTAATTCTCTTGTGTTTGTGTTTTTCCTTGGTCAAAAATAGACAGACGCCAAAAAATGTTTCCTTGCACTTCAGCTTTTCTGCTTTTTCCCTTGTGTGTTGGGTTTCCTCTTGCCATGCTCCTTCTTCCTACTACCTGCTGGTTTCTCTGCTATTCTTACCTTTTTCAATTAGGGCTTTTCCTTGTGTTCTGTCACCCTGGCTTGGGGCAGCCTTTAGCGACAGCACAAGCATAGAGCCTGCCAAGGGCCTGAGGGGTTTGCAGTGAGGAATTCCCATTTCTGGCCAAGCACCGGACAGGGCTCCCCATTACTGGTTCTGGCTTGGCCCCCAGGCATGCACACTGCAAGACTTCAGAGTGGAAGAGAAGTGCCTAGCCTAGAGGTCAAAGGAAAGCCCGGACGAGAAGGGTTCCAGGGTATCTTTCTTCTGTCTCCTCATGCTGGGATGGTGGGAGGGTAGGTGCAGGTAAGAGCCAACCAAAGGCTTTCTTGGAGACAGGCTCAATCCTAGAACCAACTGAGGTTTCCAGGCCTGGAGATTTGATTATGTAACTTTTTACACGTAACAAATAGTTCTTACTGTGATAAACACTGTTCTAAGTGCTTTTAAAGATTAATTCATTTAACCCTTTAAATATGAATTCATTTCATCCTTACAACAACCTTATGAACTGAGAGCTACTTGTGTCTGAATTTTATGGATGAGGAAACTAAGGCCCAGAGAGGTTAAGTGACTTGCTCAAGGTCACACAGCTAAGTGGTAGCATTGGGATCTGAACCCAGAAAGCCTGGCTCCTGGACCCATGCTTTTAACCACTATATGATACTTCCTGTCTAGTTTATGTACAGTCCCCCCTCGATTTCCTTTGAAAATCTCATGTGTGATTTTACAAAATATCTTCTTTGAGGTATAACACCCTCTGGTGGGTGCTGGAAAACGTGTGTATCCCTTTGAAATTTCTGTGCAGCTCTGGGGATATCTGCTAGCAGTCGTGTGTTCACAGGCTACTTCCTGCAGAAGACATTAGAATCATACCTCTCTCTCTAGGGATAAGGGTGTAATTTCTACTCATACAAACCTTAAGAAATAAAATTTCACCATATGTTTAATAAAAATAAAACGTCACACTATGTTATATTCCTCTTATAAAGTGTCCTCCACCCCCACGCCCACCCACACACATAAGCAAGAATATTATCCTGAGTTCTGTCCCTAATCAGGGTGAGTTTGCAGGGAGCCATCCCCACATTCTCCACCCAGGCCCTTATGAACAGCATCATGAATTTTTTAGATGATTGGCTGGATTTGGGAGTGCCGTTCAGAGCTGTAGGACAGATCTTCCGGTGAGAGTAGCAAACTGGTCTGGAGAGAAGCCCAAGACCTTGGCCTCTTTGCCCTGGGAGACGTGGCCGTGGCCCCGAGTATCTGCAAATCCTCTGACTTTCCCTGTCACCCTCTGGCTGTGCCCCAAATGGCTTTCCCTGCTAAGAAAGAGCTGGGTTAGCAGAGAAGAAAGTTTCACAAAAAGTTAGGCTGAGCTTGGCTTTCAGCTGCTTACATGAACCCTGACTTAAGCTGAGGGGCGGGTCTCAGTCCTCTCTGGCCACTTCCCTGACTCCCGCCGGCTTCCCCGCTCATAATTTCCAAGGCTTCTGCCCGTTCTCTATCTGCAAGATTCTGCTGGTCCTGGATCTTCCTCCCACAGGGCCCTAGTTCTAATCTGGTTGGAACTGTTAGAAAGTGAATTCCTGCTAAAAAATCAGCTGATTACATCTGAGGCAAGGGCTCTCTTCTGCGTACTGCACTTGAATCTTAATAAGGACATTCAAAACCAAAAAGTGAAGAAACTCATAGGAATGAATATCTAGTGGTAGAATGTCAGGCTCCTTTCCACAGAGAGATGAGGGGGAGGAGCGGGGGGGGGCACATTGGTGTCTTGTTGATTTCCCCACATTTGTATATGAATCTAAAATTGGCCCTAAAAAGGTAAATAAATAAATAAAACTGGCCCTAATGTCAATGTCAGGTCCACGGACATCTCAAATCCAGAATGAATATGTGTACTTTGGAGCAACAGCTATTTCTCTTGGAGTTTGTTCTTAGGACTCATCAAATCCTAGGACCCAGATCAGGGCATGCTACTGAGTTCAGTTTTTTGGCAACTGGTGCAGGGTCCTTTGTCAAGTGGGGTATTTCCTCTGATGTCACTGGACTGCTCATCAGCTCCAAAGTGGGCCTTTGCCAGGAAAGCCTGAACTGAAGAGGAGGCTTGGCCTTCGGGGAAGGCAGCCTGTGTCCTGGCAGCTGGGTGTGTCTGCTCCAGGCAGGCTTCTCAGAGCCGCTGACTCCCTGGATTAATGCACTTTTGACCCAAGAGGGAAAAAAGGTGTAAAGAGCAGGGGCTACAGCAGTCGGCTTTTACAGGGTGGGACTTTTGAACTGGTGGGTTGGTGACAGCCCCAGCCCCACCCACCTAGACCAGCAGAGGCTCTGTCTTCCCCACCCCCTTCTCCTGCCTTCTTTCTTACCCTCTCCCACTACTTCTCTCCCTAGTCTTCTGAAGAGCAGCTGCCTAGGTGACACCTTTTGTTTCCAAAACCTTCTTTGTAGTTCTTCCCCTTCTCAAAATATTCCCTCTTTCCTCCTTCAATGCCAGACTGTTGGCATCTGTCTCCCCGTCTTGTGCAGGCTGCCATCTCTGGCTCACCATGGTTTTATAATTGCCTCTGGTTAAAGTTTAAATAGATGGGTTTCAGCCCAAGAGAAAAATGTAAACAAGACCTTTCTGCAGCCGTTCAGAAGTGCTGACTTCCAGGGCTTTTGAATTCTGTGCTAGGAAATTCATTCAGCTCCTCCCTCTCCGGCAAACTGAGAACCGCCACCGGGCTTTCAGAGACGTGGGAGCCACTCTGAAACCATTGAGAGGCTTTTAGATGATCTGCCCTTTTCCTTTTAACTCAATTAAGCCATCAAGATCCAGTTCCCATTTCTGGTCTGTTTGTCTGGTGTATTGGGGTGACAGAACCGTTAAGCAATCATCAGGGGCTGGCTTCGAAGGAAAGGAAGGAAGTGAAGGGAATTTTCATTTCCCTGCGGGAATTTTTTCTTTGAGGGGAGAGAAGGATTGTATTTGGTGCTCCAGGTCTTTTTGTTGATGAGGAAGTCTTATAAATCAAGTGAATGGGATCATTCTTGGCCAGCACATCAGAGAGCAGGTCGGGTTTGAGCTGGCGATTCAGGCACATATTCCTTCATTTGCTGTTTCCTCAGAAGTAAGCGGGCCTTTTTTTTTTGAGTCTTGATTAAGAACATTGATTTTCTGTATCTTTCTGCTTTGTGTACTTGTGATTAGGTGTCAGGATGGATTCAGCAATACTTTCAGATGTTTCCCCTACTCAAAAACCTTCAATAATTCCTCATTCCAAGTTCAGACTCCTGTTCAAAGCCTTCCATAGTCTGGCTCCAACCCACCTTTCCCCTCCACTATTCCAACCATACACTGACCTCGCTGAACTTTCCACCCTGATTCTGTAATATGTTCTCTTCCTTATTCTGCAGGGTCCCAACTCCTGCTGAGCCCTCCTCAGGCTCCTAGAAGTCTTCTAAAAATGCCATTTTCCTGTGTTCTGTGGAACATTCCTTGCCCTCCATGCACAGCCAGGACCAAGCCCCAGTTCTCAGACAGCCCATATTTCCCGTAGCCCTTATTTCCTCCTCCATATTTATGTGTCAGCTTCCTGCACTAGCTACTCAGCTCCTTGAATGGTGGATGGTTTAGCACCTACCCCCGTGCAGCCCTGCCTCGTGTGGCCCATTGTCAGTGCTTAATACACTCTTTGAAAACTTAATATCAATATTTTAAAAATAGCTCTTGAGAGGAACCAACAGTAGTGAAGAAAGGATTTTGGAGTCTGACAAACTTGGGCTCTAATTTAGGCTCTGCTGAGTATTAGTACGAAGATGGCGTCCCAATTTTTAATCTGTTCCAAGCCTCACTTTCTTCACTTACAAAATGAAGATAAGATCTCTTTGTGAGAATTAAAAAGAGGTCATGCACGTAAAGAACCCAACACAGTTCTGTCTCATCCTTACCCTCCCTTGATGTTAAAACATTTTAAACATTGGAACATTTCACTCTGGAGAATGAATCGTACTAATCAGTTTAACATATATGCGCCACATCTTTCCATTGCTGATACAACCTTCCTTGATAGAACAGTTGCTTCTCATTCACACTTGCAGGTTTTTCAAAGGTTACCTGAAGAAATTCCAGGGATAGGGGTGAAGACGAGGCAACTGCTCTGCTTGTTGCTAAATTATTTTCACACGTGGAGGGTCGTCCTCACACCATCACACTGGCCTCTTCACTTCCAATGTTAACTTTAAAGAGGAGAAGAGATACCATTAGGACACCTTTCTCCTTCCCCTTCCACCAAAAGTCACTTCCCACTTTCACTCATGGGTGGGAAGCGGTGGATTCCATTCTTCCATCCAACATGTACTGAATGCCTGCTATGTGCTAGGTGCTAAGATAAAAGATGAATCAGCCAAGGTTATGCCTTTAAAAGTTTCCATATAATGGGTTTGCAGGGGAAAGATAAGCATCTGACTAAATAAGGAACAGTGGAGGTATGGGCACAGAGGAGGGGACAGTCAGCCTGTTAAGAAAAGATTCAGAAAGATACTTGAACCTAGACTTAAAATATCAGCACATGGCTGTCAACAGACAGTGAGGGCACGGCACTCCAGGTAAAGGAACCCCGACTCTTGTTGCTCCCACTCTGATCACTATACGCAGCCCAAAGCCTCTGGCTCTACCACCTTTACTCTGTACAGCCGTCTTCTCCTCAGTCTAGGCAACTTAAATTCTTACTTGGCAGCAGCAGCATTATTAGTGCTGGTTCCCGTCAGAGAACTGACATTAGAATCTCTGCTGCTGCTTTTGTGGCCAAGGTCAGGAAACAGCTGGAGTGGTTTGAGCTGCCTGGGGAGGGTGGAGGAGTTGAGCATGCGTGTGCATACCTGTGTTTGTGGACGTACGAGTTTGAGAGTGTGTGGGAGTATGTCCATTTGGATGGCCGGCTAGATATTTATCTGCAGGTGTTGCTGCAGAAAACAGAAGTGAATATTCAGGAAACAAAGTGACAGCTTGGGATCTCAGAGACAAGCCAAGACTGCTCAGAGAAGGGAGAGGTTGAAATAACCTCGACCAAAACAGAATGAAACAGAGAAGAAAGTTACATCAGAAGAGGAAGAATGCCAATGTCATGCTGAAGAGCCACAAATGTCACAAAATAAAATAAGATATGGGATTCTTATTTTACTTGGTTAAACACTATTACAATATTTTCTTCTTTACAGCACCATTAAAATCACTGAAATAATATTTACTGCAGCAAACATGGAGAACACAGAAAAACACAAACAAAAATTGCTGTAATTTTTTAAAGTTATATTCATCATATCTTATTTGGATCGGTGACTGATTATAACTTTGCCTTCTACCTCCACGCACAAGTTGTTTCTTACCTCTGGCACTTAAAAAATACTAAAAACAAGTTCTGAAATTGACTTACTGAAGAACAGTTAAAAAGTCTCCTTATTAGTGCAAATCAAGAAATTTTGATAAAGATACTCCAATGATAGTGAAGTGATTGAAGATGTCAGAGCAAAAAATATAGATCCCAGGAATGTTATTAAGTTTTCACATTTCCATTCATGTGGAAATATTAGTCTCTTTACCAAAAGGAAGAAAAAGAGTAGTTTTCCTTTTGATTAGGTTCTTGTAACTACACAAATGAAAAAATGTATAGGATTGACTTTAGGTGAGGGGGTTTTATAAAAAGTTAATGTAACACTGAAATAAGCTTGGCATCGGTTCTCGTATGAGTCTTTTGAATCTATAAATATAGGAATTGGCTCTCCATCACATTCTTAGAAGTATAATGGCTTCAAGTGATTAACTGATTTGCGGATCTCACAAATAGTTAAAAGCATATGGAGAAGGTATAAACTACTTTGCATAAAATAAATAAGCTACCAGGATATATTGTATAATACCAGGAATATAGCCAACATTTTATAATAACTATAAATGGAATATAATCTTTAAAACTTGTGAATCATTATATTGCACACCTGAAACTATATAATATTGAACTTCAACTATATTTCAAAAAAAAAAGCATATGGGGTTTGGGGCAGTGAATTAAGGAAGTTTTGTGTGTGTTGGTTACAATGCAAAACAGTACTTCCTAATTGGATGAACTATTAGTCCATATGCTAATTTACCAGGTAATTCATGAATGGGCTTGGGGTGGAAAGAGTTGAGAGGAATTGACAAGGGAGAGAAAGCACCAGGTAATGAAGAAGCGAACCAAGTAGGTCTGATGCTCACTCTGTTTGCACATAGTAGGTACCAGTAATAATTGCTGAAGGAAGGAAGAAACGAGAAGAGTCAATGAATGGTAAGTATGAAGAAATGGGCATAAACACTGAATTCAAAATGAAGTTAAAATTTTGCTTCATGACAGGTTTATAACATACTTCCCCTATGATACCTGCCTTGGGGATATACAGAGGTATATAATTTTGGGAAGTTATGAGATCCTTAAAAAAGAAAACATTTAAAAAATTAGATTTGGGGGAAATGGAAATCAATGCAAATCTAAATTTTTAGATCTTCTGAATTTTTTTTTAACAAATCTAAATTCAGTGTTACTTTAGGAACATAAATACATAACAACGTATTAGGTATGAATTGGTTTACTCACAAAATCATTGCATATTTTAAATATAATGTATTCAAATAATATAATTTTCTAATTAAATAGTTTTTTCTTTTGCAGATGAATTACTGATGGGGTTACTAAGCTGACATCAAATATCATTTCAGTTTTTCAATTGAGAAGAAACCAGCAAAAAGCTAGAAAGAGAAGAAACCATAAACATCACAGAAAGTTGTATATTTTTTCTAGACCAACTGCCTTCCTTAAGGAAATTATTTTCAGAAAATAATCTAAGAGTTGCAGGTAGGGGGAGAGTAAAATAAAAAAAAACTCACTGACTGCAACTTTTTTAAAAATTAAATATAGTTGACTTACAATATTACATTAGTTTCAAGTGTACTGCACTGTGATTTAGTATTTTTACAGATTATTTTCTTTAAAAGTTATTACAAGATAATGGCTACTGGCTGCAACTTTCCCCCAAGCATTGACATTTTTGTTTAGTGAATGAATGCCTCCAAATTTGCCAGTTTCCCTGCTTTCTGGACTTCCACAGCTCCAGGGGACCTCCATCTGGATGTATTTCCTGATTCAGAACTTGCTGAGGGTTTCAAGTCCCACTCAGAGGAGTCTCATAAACTCCCTACCTCAGCTTGCATTTTGGGAAGCATGTCCTTCCTGATGGTGTGCCCAAGAAATGGTAAAGAGAAAAGAAGATGCCAAGTTCTGTTTTACGTTTTAAATCTATAGATCTTTCCTTCACCGAGTGGCAGGCCATTCCTAATTCCTGCTCCTCTGTACTGAAGAATTTAGCATCAATTCCCATGGTGATCCAAGGAACTTTACTCTTTGCCCGAAATACCTCTCCCACCCAAAGCAATTTCCCCTCCTCTGAGAAATGCTGTTGTGTCAGGCTGCACTGCCCTTGAACCAGACAACTTTCTCTGCGTGTCTTTATCTGTCTAAATAAAGCTAACCTACATTTGCTGTCTAATTCATTCGGATGCTTGCTGATGCTATTTAAAGCATCCCTCAAGGCTCTGTGGAAAACAAGATGCATTATCTCCAGTAGGGAACCTTTAGGTTTGTTGGTCATTTAAAGAATTCAAGAATCGAAAGAATCCATTCAGTCTCCTGTAGTTCAGATGTGAAGGACAGAGGAGCTCTTCATGTTTTTTATTCCAGGCAGTCTTTGACTTGTACGTTACTGGGATTAGTTAATAGCAGAAGAGGTAAAGCTAATCTCTCTCTCTCTCTTTCTCGTGTGTGTGTGTGTGTGTGTGTGTGTGTGTGTGTGTGTGTAAGTGCATGTGACACTCTCCTTGCTTCTAGGCTTCATGAAGTTTGCCCAACAGAATACATTTTTCCTTGTGGACTCAGATAATTTGTTAGTCCATTGTAAGTTCACTTACTCTTCTCAGGGAACAAATGTAAAAGATTAAAAAGAGATGTCACCTTGGTAAACAGTCTTTTGGCGAGTTTTTGGCTTGTCTCCACCCACTCTTCTTCAGCCTCCATCTGACATTTCATTACAGAATCCTAGTACTTCCACATTCCAGAAATTTTAAACAGGGAAAAGAACAAAATACTGGGGTTGTAAATAGGACTCCACTGTGCCTTTCTATAGTTCATAGAGGTTTCAAATCTGTTGCTCGTTTTTTTCACATCTGGTATTTATGTCAGTCTATCGGCTTGCTTGGTGGGAGGGAGAGCTGGTACAACAGGATTGTTTTAACCATCAGTGCCCTGCTTAAGCACATGCTTTTATCAGCATCCACTTGTTCAGCCACGATCCTGTGACGTCCATTGCAGTGAGTGAGTCAGAAGCTGCAAGCTAACAGGTCTATTCCTTCCCGCCGTCACCTAGGAAACCAATGCATCATCCACAGGAAATGCGGGCCCCAATGGGGAGTGTGCCCAGATCGGGTTATAAAGCTGGCAATGAGTTTTTCAAAAGAGGTCAAATAATAATGCGTAGAATCTTGGTCTAGGATGGGAAGAGGATCCAGCCCCTTAGGCATGGATCGAGGACTAACAGGCAGAAATACCAGGAGAAATTAGTCAGCTAAAATCATGTTAAGATGTCTGCTTTATAGGAAGGTGGCCAAGGGCAAGGGGTATGGAGATATACATTTAGACAGTATGTGAAGTGAGATGAGGAAATTGACAAGCCATCAAACAAGGCTTTCTGCTGAGTGAAATATATATTCCTTTTTCATGGTCTCTCTCCCTTGGGTTAAAATAGTGATGGAGGGTTCCTTCAGAGAAAATCACACCCTGATTCCCCTCATGCTCTCATTGTTTCATTTCTGCCTCTGCCTTATTTTCTCTCTCCTTGACCTCTACAGATCAGCACAGACCATCACCTTAGTGTATATATACAATCTACCACACAACATCCACATATGTGTAAAAATAAGCTTATTACAGCTGAGAAAAATTACCTGTGGAGCTTCAAGTTGTTTGACAGGCTTAATGTTTCCAGGCAGATTTACACTCTCATACTGGTTATGGGTGAAAGAATCTACGTAAAAGTACAACGTGAGCTCTCCCAGAACTTCCTGTTTTAAACTCTAAGAATATTAGAACGGGAAGGAAAAACAGCTCAGAAATCATCCGGTACAACCCCCTCATGTGAAAAATGAGTCCCAGAGAAGTGATTTGTTTAAGGTCATCTAGCAAATTAACGTGTACGTTGGGGACCAGGAAGAGGCGAGAAAAGGGATTGGACGCTTGACCACAAGCTCAAAATGAGTCAATAGGTGGTATAGCCACCTCAGAGGCTGTGATAATATATTCAGCTGCATTAACTGAAGTAGGGAGCCCTGACTAAGAGAGGCAACTGGTACCCTCATGGGCTGGTCAGTGTTGCCAACAATTTGGCATTCTGTCTTGAGTACCCATTGAATGGGGAACAATGATAGACCCAAATGTGCCCAGAGGAGGTAAAAATGGTGATAAGAGCTTTAGTAACTATAACCTAAGAAGACCAATTTAAAACATTAGACTGTTTAGCTTAGAGACCAGAGGGTTTGTCATGGAGGGCATGGGAAAAAGGTATCGTCAAATAACTGAAAGGCTATCTTGAAGAGGGTTCAGACTTATTTTGTGTGACTGTGAACGATAGTCACAAATTGGCACAAGTTAAAGGGTGATAAGCTTTAGCCCCATGTAAGTATTCTCCAATAATTCAGGCTGGTTGAACTGTATTAAACTGACCATTGGGGTAGGGAGGAGGTTTTTAAGGCCTGGACCTAGAAGTGGTACATGTACACGTCAGCTCTGCTCACATGCTTTCTATCCAGTAGAATTCAATCACATGGCCACACCTGTCTGCAAGCGGGGTTTAAAATGCAGTCCTATGCCCAGGAAAAAGAGGAAATGGGTTTGATGACTGACTAGCAAAACTTTTACCACACTGTCCAATTCTGAGCTTCTATTATGGTGATAGAATCAAGTCAGGAATTTTAAAACTTTCTTGTTTAATGCCAATACATGTCTCTTGTTCACATTAAATGTCTTCTTATTGAAGGGCTCCCATTCAAAATATATTGTTAGGTTAAAAAAGCAAGGTGGAAAATAATGTATATACTATGCTATTTTTGTGACTGAAAAGAGGAATTGTAATGACAGTGTTTATTTGCATTTGCTTGCATATGTATGCAGAAACACTGGAAGGATACACAGGAAACCATAAGGGCCAGGGTGGGAACAGAGGAAGGACGGAGACATCACTGGGAGGGAGACTTCTCCTCATGTGCATTTCAATATTGTTTAATTAATTAATTAAAAACCTATAGAAAAAACTTTCTATTAGAGAAAAGTTTTTCTCCAATGAACTTCTTTTTGTTTTCAAATAAAGAAAAATTTGAGAAAAGTCCTATTTGGGAAGGTGAGCAGGGCATAACTTATGAACCCAAGGTAACAACAGTGATGAATATGGTGTCTTTCCTGTTATAACGGGCTTGTACTCGATTACCTGTCTTTTTCCAAAAAAAAAAGTAAGTGAATAATAGTGCAACAGCTTGGTTTTATATGGATTCATCTAAAAGTCTCAGAGTGCTTTTATATCTGCCATCTTTGTTTTACTATATAACATTCCTAATAACTATGGTACAAAAGATAGAAAATAATTTCTTGTTTTGTAGGAACTGTCAGAGCCAAGAATAGGACTTTGTCTACAAATTCATATTAGACTTGTAGGCCAAGCCTCTTGATTTCTGGATAGCATCAACATGGGATGTATGTGACAAAAGTCCTTTATGCTTTATAGCATTTTCACAAATATTTTCTTATTTAGTTTTTCCATCAGCCTTGTGAATTAACTATAACTGATATTATCTTTAGAGATGAAAAACAATGGTGGTGATATAAATAAAGTTAAAAAGCTAATAAAAAATTAGTGGGAGAGAACTATACTTAATATATAAAGAATGATTACAAATCAATAATTAAAAGGAAAGTATTCCAATAGAAAAATTGGCAAAGGGCATGCATTAAAAATCATAGAAAGAGATATCAGTAACAGATAAACATTAAAAATATTTTTTTCTCCTCAAAATGAGTAGAGGTAAAAGAAAAATAATACCTAGTACTGACAAAGATACATGGAAACAGGAACACTGATATTTTTCTGAAAGGGTCATCAGTTGGCAAAATTTGAAGAAAAATTTAGAAATATATTAGAACATTACACATGCTCAAAACACTGTAGCCCAGTAACTTTATTCTACTAATTATCCTAATGAAATAATCAGAGAAACATAAAAATTTATGCCAAATGATATTAATATCATAGCATTCTTATGAGTTCAGCAAAAGGTGGATCAAATGACAATAAGGAAATGGAATAACCAAGCTGCCATTAAAAGACAACGTTAAAGAATTAACCAAAAACTAAAGGAAAATCCCACTATCCAATGTTAAATAAAAAAGCAAGATCCAAAACATGTACAGAGGAATGGATATTCACATTTAGATTCCTTACAAAAAAGGTAAATTCCAAGAGACTATAAGACAAAACTGCTACTAGTGATTTAAGCTTAGAAAGATACATTTCTATCAAAAAGGAGTTTGATGGTCCTTCAAAGCTTTACAGCTGGGAAGCATTCTTATTTCCTTGCTAATATCCATTCTACTGAGCGTCCTTATCCAAAATAGACCAGTCCATATAAACTGAGAGGTGGTCAAGGCAGCCTTTGGTGGGCTTTGCTAAGTGACATAAATAACTTCTTAGCAGTTTCCACAGGGAATTTAATGTTGCATTGATCTAACAGATCTTGAATCTATGGAAGTATCACTGCTTTTTAGTAAAGGTTCCAGGATGAGAACTTTTACTACACCTGGCTGTTAAATACTTGAATATATTTTTAGCCCTTATCTGAATTAATATTTGGATTATAGGCATTCAAAACTGATTCCAGGTCTCTAATCACACACTCTGAATTGTTTCCATTTCTTTGATTACTTTTCTTCATTTTTTGCTGATTGATGTTCATTGCATAGACCCAGCCAGCAGTTATCA